CTAGGCTTGATTTATTACCAGCCACCGAATGGACATTGGCACAGCTGTAAAATGGGTTAACATACCCACCTACCCTCCCTGTGTTTCTCTGAGGATAAAATCTGAATCTTTCTTAAAGGCCTTCACAAGAGCGGCGTGAAGTTCACTTTGTTCAAGCTATACTCTAATGAAAAATGAAATTGTAAAAGTAATTAAATCACAAAAAGTCTCAAACATTCTTATAGCAATCCTACCCCACAGTCTCTAGAAAAGGGGGGAAAAAGAGATGAGAAACCAAGCAAGTCAGGGGAAAAACAAATAGAGCCATTTAAAAGCTTTATCTCATTACCCCCACTGAGACTTTTTCTCTGCAGTCTGGCCGGCTGACAAAGAATGTGGGGGTTTTCACTGGGCTTTCTCCACCCCACCAGGACCACCCGCCCTCACAGAGTCTGAAAGGCCTCAGGTGAATCCTGTAGGAGCAGTCAGGGCTCAGTCTCCAGTCTCGGAGACTTCACAGAGGCTTTCAAATTCTCTTAGCATTACTTGCTTGAATCACACTGAACAAACAGTCCCCACCCTCTCCCACTTCTTTTGTCTGAAGCACCTATTCACAGGCAGCCACCTTTATTGATGGGCAGACTGGCTCACCTGTACCCTGAAGTACCATCAGAAACAAGATGCACCAGTAGCTGGAAGGAACAGCTCCCTGCGCCCTCCTCCCAGTGCCTTCCCTCCTCTCCACCCTACCCCATCTCCACCAACCAACGCAGTCTCTAGCTACACTTGGCTTCACTTCACACCGGACAGTAAAGACCCAGGGAAGGTGACAAGAAAAACTGAGACCAGCACCGTCAATGACACTGTCCCATAAGACAGCTAGCATAAAAGGAGAAAGGCTGGTCACCCTCACTCCCCATCTTCCTCGTTCTTCCACCTCAGTCAAATGAAAGCAGAGCAGATGGTTTTCCTCTCTGTATTCTGCCGTCTACGGGAGGGGGGAAATTAAAAATAAGTGATGCATTTCAGAAGGCACATCGCATGCCTCCCTCTGTGTTTCATATGGTACACCTTTTACCTCTGATTTATGGTGAGGCCCCTCAGGGCATGGAAATCACAATCGGACCCCTGCTTTTTGAAGACGGCCATGACTATTTCTACCCAAAAATCACTTCCTAAGTCTAAAAGAGAAAAAGAAAACTCATTTAGCCTGCCCCCCTCCAAAGAACCCATCCAATTTCTTAATTATATTTGGATATAAAAAATATCACTCAACTTTGCCTGTTTGGTGGGTCAGATGTACACAAGTAACCCTGAGGCAGGGGAACTTTTGACTTACGGTGGGTTTGCCTTTCAACCACGGCTTCGGTTAGATTTCAACCATTTTACCTTACTTCAAGACCCTTAAACATACTCACAGCAGTAAACCACAATTCTGTTGTTTGTTTTCTAACATTTGGTCAGTGCTTCTAAAGATACTCTAAGCCTAATATAATTATTTTTTAAAAGAACTGGACTGAATAAACTGAGATGGGGAGGTGGAGTGAAAAGGACAGGAGCCCTACCAAAACCGGATCTAAGGAAATGACAATCTCAGTAAAGGGGGAAGAAAACTATTGTCCTGTTATCAGCAAAGACTATACTGCATATTTTTATTGATACTATATTGCATTTTTATCTTCTGAATGAAAATTTATTTAATAAAGAGACACAAAGACATAAAGTAAGGCATCACTTTATGGATAACATAGATTTTCCAAAGCAAACTAAACAACCTGTTACTCATAAATGAAATAAGGTGATGTCACCCACACATATCCTCGGGAAGGGAAGGTTTAACATGAACACACCGGTAATAGGCAAGAAGTCCGCCCAGACAAGCTGCCATCTGACACCAGAGTTGGTCAGAGAGCGTGAACTTCAATTAAAAGACACTTACAAAAGAGAGAGAGATTATTTAAATACGATAACAAAAAGAAAACAAACTTAACATCCTACCTTCCTAGGTCAAAGGACATGGAGAATTCAGAAATTAATTAAATCTAGTAAATAATGTAAAACAGGGAAGGACTCTTTCAAAAATGCTTTGGTTAATTTTAGCATCCTTCTGTTTAGCTGCTTAGCAACACTTATCCTATGACCTTTTAAGCACCACCTACTTTTCAGAAGGATAATGAATAGAAACATCAAAAGGTTTCACTTCTGGCTGTCTCTAGTGAGCACATTTAACCAATTTTTGTAGGAATTAAATTTATATTAATTATGCCCTACAAAACCCTAAAAGGGTAGAATTTTTAAAACTTCATTAACCAGGAAGTTTTTTGAAGGTAATAATGTTGACAAGTGAGCATAAGATAGCAAGCAAAGATTTCCAAACTGACCTAAAAAAGTAGACCCCAACACAGCAGTTCAAAATTGAAGAGTAAAAAATGAAGCCACATAATAACAACTAGCTACTGCCTGATATACCACAGGTAACCAACAAACAGCTGTTGATCAGATGCAGGACTAACAAGGTTAGGTTTATTTTCCTCCTTCAACATTCTGTACCTGTGTTGGACACAAATGAGATCTCAGGAGTCCGCCTGAAGAAATATAAAATAAAAGACCCTTCAATCGAAAGGTCACTTGTTGGATGATGTAAATAGTTAGGAATGGATACACCACCTGTGCCAGCTGAGTCAGACCCATCTTTCCCATCACATAACAAACACTTGTCTGCCATAAGGGCTTAAACTGAACTTCTGATGAGAAAGTAGCATCTAAAAAACCCAGAGAATGATATGCATATAACAGTAAGCATCAGCAGCATTTAAGAGTATCACATAACCAGCAAATCCTCTTTAAAAACAAAACATCCTAAAATGCAACCTGTATAGTAGTATTTTTAAGGATGATAAAACAGGGTAAGTTCATTAACAACCTAAAATGGAGCACTAGCTAAACAAATGACTAAATCAAAGGGTTCTCCCTTTCTTTTGTATAAGGGGGGTGGGAGGGAAGGTATTTCTTCACACATTTAAAACTTGATAAAAGCCATTCAAATGTTTAATTCATCAGTGTAACCAAAGCTCAAAACACATCAAAGCAGGATCCATCAGCCAGTACCCAGAAGGCTCCCTCCAAAGGGCAGAGGTAAAAAAAAACCAAAAAATTAGTGGCTCACCTTTGCATAAATTATTTGAAGAATAATTTCACACCCATTCCTTCAAAAGGTCTGTGTGACTCTTAAAGAAAGAATAGAACTAAATGTTTTCAAAAGAAGGGGAAAAAAAAAAAAAAAAAAAAGAAGTTTCAGCCAAGACTTCAGTCTCTAACTTAGACTTCCGGGTTACATTATGTCTTAGAACCATACCTGCCTACTCCAAAAAGCACCAGATCTAGAGGATGCTTCTAAGGGCTATGGAGAGAAAAAATCCAAAAAACAAAATAAAAACCATTCTGTTTTTTGCAGTTCCCTTTTCTCCACCTTCCACTTCAATTAAATTTATTTCAGAATACACTCGTGCGCATGCACAGAACACTACACATCTAAAAGAAAAAAGATCTCAAAAATATGGGATGCGCATTAGCAACTCAGCCTTTGCAGAAATCATCTTAAGGTTCTTCTTCAAAGCAGAAATACCTCGCTATTTCCAGTATCCCTATCCAACAGGCAAACTTTATTTCCATTGGCTTTTAAAGGGCTAAGCTTAAATCTAAACTCTAAAACAAGCATGAGGGTTAATTTTTTCTACTCATGAAAACCCACGGACAGGTTTTTCAGCATAGCGAAAAGTTATATTTTTTATTCACCTCTCTCTCTCGCTCCACCACTACCACCACCCCCCCAAAAAAAACGAAGAAGAAAAAACTCCAAAGTGCCCCGAATGTGTGCTGCTGCTGGCTCTGAAGCCGTGTAGAATTTCGTAATGGAATGTGAACTGCTCGTCCGGATCTGGGCTCACGTTCTATCTTCTAACCAGTAAGGAGCGAGGGAGGGCAAATCTGCTGAGCAAGGAGAAATACTTTCCTCCTCTTTTATAACCCATCACCGATACACCGCGGACGCTGGACGTGAGCTGCACGCGGCGCCTGTCAACCGACCCGCCGGCCGGCCAGTCTCCGCGACCCCGGGGTGCTCGCGACCCCCGCCTCCATCCTCGGCCCGGGGCGCTCCCGCCCCCCCGAAAAGAAAAGTGGCCCCTCTGAGAAGTGGGCTTGGCCGCCGTGCCCCGCACTCACGCGCCTCGCGGGCCCCGCGGACGGCCCAGGAGCGAGTCACCACATCCTCGACGCGGCCCTCGGCCCCATCCAGAAAACACGCCGCTTCCCAGGGAGGGGGCCGGCAACGGGAAGGACCTCCCCTGCTCCTTAGCAACCATTAAGGTCGCAGTTTCCTAAGAGACCGCGAGCGGGGAGGGGGGCCCGGCCCGAGGCTCGGGGGGGGGGGCGGCGCACGGGTCCCCTGCCCCTCGACGCCTGCCCGGCTCACCCCACCCCCACCCCGCTCGGCGCTGCGGGCCGGGATGGGAGGAAGGAAGAACTCGCTAAAAATTGGTCCAGCGGGCGGCGGACAAAAGTTTCCGAGCGCGCTCCACAGCTGGGCGGCGAAGCGGGCCCCGGCGGCCGGCCCCGCCTCGGATGCTCCCGGCCTCCTTCCTGTGCTCGTGACGGCGCCGGGCGCCGAGGTTCCCCCCCACCCCCAGCGATGCAGGCTCCGCTCCACACCGATGGCTCCCACGAAAACACGTACACCGCCAACGGAAGGGCAAGGGAACAATACGCACGGACACAACTCCGGCCCCGGCCCCCTCCTCCCCCAGTCACCGGGGGCGGTGGTCGGTGTAACCACCAGCCACGAGCCGGGAACGGGCAAGGGCGCAGGGCTTCCCGCGGCCCCCTCCTAGCCGGCGCCGTCCGCCGGGGAGGATCAAAGTCCGCAGAGCAGGGCGCGGCGGATGCTCCCACCACGCAGCCCCGAGCAGGCACCCCCGAGCGAGTACCCCAGGCAGGCACCCCGACCAGGCACCCCCGGATACCTTGCGGCGGCGGGAGGGCGCCGTCATCTCCGCGCTTCTCGGTCCGGGAGGGACTCGAAAGTATGTAGGAGAAAAGTTTCCCCTCCCACATGGGGGGGAGGATGTCGGCGGAGAGAGGGCGGAAGATGGAGAGCAGTGCTGGGAAGATGTTTCTGGCCCGCGGTGCGCGCACCATCCGAGTCCCGGCGGTGCTGGTTAAAAATAAACTCCGCGGCGGGAGCGGCGGCGCGGGTCGGGCCGGATTCCTGTGCTCGGACGGCTAATATGGATGCGCATCAGGTCCTGGCGGCGGGGCGCTGCGGCGGCCGCGGCGGCTCGCGCTGGGAGCTGGTTGGCAGAGCCGGCAGCTCGGGAAGGGGAAAAGGAGCGGGGGGGGGGGAGGAGGAGCGGGCCGGCGCGCAGCCCGAGGGGAGAGGGCTGCCCAGCTCATCCCCGGCCGGCCCCACTGCCCCGAGCGCACGTAGCACGGCGTGGGGCGCTCGGGTCCTCTGCTCCGGGAGACGCCGAGTTTAAAAAGTACAACGCGCTCTGCAGACTTCACCCTCCCCATCCCCAAAAGTTCTTTAAAAGGTCGCTCCCGCTTAGCCCCAGACATCTCGCTGCCACCCAAGGACCGCGAGCCGGAACCCCGGGCGCGTACTTACGGCGGGGCAGGGCGCTTGGCTCCCAGGCATGATGCAGTGGGGACCGGTGGGCTTCGGGGAGAGAACGAGGAGAGATGCAAACTTGTTCCGGAAAAGGAATCAAAATGGCGTTTCTGGATGTGCAAAGTTCATCAACTCCGCAGTCACTTCCCCTCCTCCTCTTCTCCCACAGGGAGGGAGGTGGGCGAGGAGCTGGCGACCCCGGAGCCCCAGCCGTCGTCCCGGCCCCCGCCTCGGCCCCCCGCCCCGCTTCCTCGCCCGCACGCTCGGAGACTCGCTCTCCCCCTCTCACCCTGATAAGTAGACACATCACGTGTTGCTCCTGCGAGTCTCCTGGGGACGTGTTACTGAGCGGCGGCGGCGGCGGCGGCTCGGGCTGGGGGGGGGGGGGGACCGCGGTACCCGCCTGTCCCCACCGCCGCCCCCGCCCCGATTTTAGCGGGGTGACCGCAGTTTCCATCCCGGGATGGATGGAGGTAGAGTCCCCCACCCCACCCCCACCGCAGCCGCAGGTTTGCCCCACGCCCTCCGCAGGCACCCCGGGCCAGGGGAGGGCAGGGCCGCCCCAGGGGAAGGGTCTCGGCGGCCGCAGCTGAGCGCGATCCCAATTAGCCCAGAGCTCGCCGGCAGGCCACCTTCTTGGACCACTGCGCCCCCTCCCCTCCGGCCCCTCACTGCGGGCGACTCCCCGCCCCCGGCTTTCCATCACTTCACTCCGTGGTTTGTTTCACTATTTTAAGGGAGGAGGGGGAGAGGCAGGGATGCTCCGGAGGCCGGGAGGGGGTGGCGAAGGGGTCGAGGTCCCTGGCCCGGCGCCGCCTCTTTCGATATCGGAAGCAAGGGGGAGGCTGAGCCCCACCCGCGCGGTTCCCTCTCCACGCGGTCCTCGCTCTGCATCCAGGTGGGGAGAGTAGATGATGGGGCAGGAGATTAAGGAGCCGGCGCTTCACCCCGCCCCCAACTTCGGGCTGTGTCTCTCCCAGGGCCCCGACCTTCTAGCTCTGGGGCTGCCGCCCGGGAGCATGTTCTCCGTCCAACAAATTCAACGCTGACTCGGCTTCTGTCACCTTCCCTTCCCCACACTCCACAATTGATGCTTAAGCGGAGGCTGCCTTGCCCCCAAGAGGCCGCGAATGGCAGAGGCCCCTACCACCACTGTGTCCCCACCCCGCGATGGCACGGCTGATGCTGTGTCATCCACGTCGCCCTCCAAGGCATCAGGGAAGCCACACGCAATATCTCTTTCTCTCAGAGAGCTCCTGTTTCAGCTCTGAAAAGCAGGGGCCCTCCTCCGAGCTGCTCTCCATCTCTACAGCTCCTGCTACCACGCTTCGCCCTGGCTGCAGGGGCCCAAGTTATCATCCAACCCAGAGAAACCAGGCCTGGGCTGTGCTTCCTCCATAAAGCAGCTGACATGTTTCCAACTGTTAATACTTCTCCTACCAAGGTTCTGAAAGGGGCCTGTTCTCGGCCTTGGAAACATCTTCAGACAGATAAGGGTGATTGAGGTTGTGGAAAAGAAACGTTACACACACCCCAAATTCTAAAGATGATTGTGCCTCTTACTAGTTGCAGAGAATACTACTGTAGAATTATGCATTTGAGACTAGTTTGGCAAGATGATGTTATACATACAGAAAGCTGGCTATTCTCCACTTACTCTGACCTTTAACCCCGGCTCTGCCACATCAGCTCCTCAGAGGATGCTTTGCACACTATACCAAGTTGTAAGCCCAATCTTGGACCTTTAATTTTCTGCTGTCAGTGGAACTCTGGTTTTCAATGCTGCAGACAGAAGTGTCTATGTAGGGATGGACTAAATGGATGGATTCTGGCCAAGATAGAACTCTCTAGAACCAAGCAAAAGTGATTGGACCATTACCTCTGACTTCAGATAAGTAGGCTAAACCAATGCCCAAGAGGGAACTGATTCAGCTGGCTGTTTCTCCAAGTCCAGAGTCATCAAAATTAAGTATTCAGAACCTGCTATGTTTCCCAGGGTCTACTGTTTACTGATGAAAACTCTACCCAGAGAAACTTTAGCACTTGCATTTTTCTAAGCCTTCCCCCACCCCCACCCCATGTCCCCAGGTATATTATCAAATGCTTTTTTGAAGACAGGCCTGCCTGTGGAAGAAATGGGAAGGTCTCTAAACAGGAGCAATAGTTCACACAGTCACCACAGAACGGGTGTCTGGAGCTTGGGAGGTATAACGTGTTCCAATGAGAAAGCAAAGGAAGGGCCATGGAGGGAATGCTACTTTATTTACTTGCCCTGCCTTGGATTCAGGAGTTAGCCTTTCTTGGTCTCCCCACTCAGTGGTAGGTTTTGAGTAGGAACAACATCAAAGTTGGAATTTTGTTTCTAATTTAGCTTATTCTGTAAAATGCATTCAAACCTGCAAAGCTACATGAATTTTTTCATGACAAATCACCACCTTTATAATGTCGCCTAAATAATACTGGCAACTAAAAAGAGAGGAAAAAGTTTAAAAGTCTCTTTTATAAATTGAATTCTAATGATACGGGGCCCTGTGTTCATCTTTTCTAGCTAATTAATAAATTTGGAAGACAAACGACCTGTTCAAAGGTCTATTTGTTCATATTACATATAAATATCATTTATCCAACAAATATTTATTGAACATCTAAAAGGTAAAAAGAGTCATGCTATCAAAACCACCATGAGATCCCACTTCATACCCACCAGGATGGCTATAATCAAAAAGACAGATAATAACAAGTGTTGGTGAGGATGTGGAGAAATTGGAACCCTCACACATTACTGGTGAGAAGGTAAAATGGTGCAGCCACTTTTGAAAAGCTTGGAAGCTCCTCAAAATGTTAAACATAGAGTTAGCATATGACCCAGCCATTCTACTCCTAGTTACATATGCAAAAAATGAAAACATATGTCCACACAAGAACTTGTACACGAATGTTCAGAGCAGCATTATTCATAATAGCTAAAAAGTGGAAACAATCCAAATACCCATCAACTAATGAATGGATAAACAAAATGTGGTATATCCATACATGGAATATTATTCAGCCATAAAAAGGAATGAATTACTTGATTACATGCTATAACATGGATCAACCTTGAAAACATGCTAAATGAAATAAGCCAGACCCAAAAGGACTAATATTATATGATTCTGTTTACATGAAATGTCCAGAATAGGCAAATCTACAGAGATGGAAAGTAGATTAATGGTTGCCTAGGGCTGAGGGTTTGGGGGAAAACAGGGATCAACTGCTAATGTGTACAGGGTTTCTTTTTGGGGTGGTAAAAATTGTTCTAAAATTGAGTGTGGTGATGGTTGCACAGCTCTGAATATACTAAAAACCACTGAATTTTACACTTTAAATGGGTGAATTGTATGGTATGTAAGTTACATCTCAATAAAGCTGGTATGTATATACATATATGGAATTGTGCTAGGTTCTATAGTGGAGAAGTGATAGAAAAATGGATAAATTTATGATCCATGCCTTAAAAAAGTTTATAATCTAATCTATGCATCCACATGAAGTAATCATGAAATGCCAACCAACATATAATAAGAATCATTAAACAGGTACAAAATTCAGGGGATTAGAGAAAAGAGATCACTTCTAATAAGAGTAATTGAGGAAAGCTTCATGGAAGAGAAAGCAATGGAGTTGAGTCATGAGAATGGCTAGGAATTTTGTAGATGGAGATTGGCATTGGAAACAGCAGATGCAAAGGCATGATTGCAGCAAGTTGTGGGTCCTGTTCAGAGATCACTAAGGATTCTAGTGTGGCTGGATTATAACATATAAGGAATATACAGGTGATGAGACCAAAAGGTAAACATGCTGAGGCTATACCACAAAGAACTTTGAATACCATCCATGGAAAACCTCAGGTATGAGGGCCTGAGCTAGGGTGGGGATAGAGAGAATGGAGAATCAAAGACCAAGAACCACTTCAGAAGAAGAAGTAACAGAAAAGCAACTGCCGGACCAGGAATGGGGGTTGACGAAGTGAGGGCCAAGATGATGCCTGGGTCTTAGCCAGGTGACTGAGAGAATGAATGACAAAACGAGAAAGTCAGAAGTAGAAGCCGTTTGAGGTGGAAGGTGACAGAGTAGGTGATATTGAGCTTGAGCTAAAATAAATGGAAAACATAGAGCTATGCCATGGAAGAGAATCAAAAAGAAAAAGGACGTGGATGTTGGAGAAGGCCGCTTGGATGAGGTGACACAATCCTCTGAATCTCACAAGATGTGTAGGTGTCTTCCAGGCAAGGGGGTGGGAGGCAGGGCACTCCAGACAGAGGCAGCTGTGAGTAGTAAGCATAAGGGCACAGAGGCATAAAACAAGGTCAGTTTCCTGAACTGCAAATACCTCACTCTGTGGCTGGAGCAGAGGGAGTGGGGGAGGCGGCCAGAGATGGGGCTGGAGAAATAGCCATGGGCCAGACGGCCCGGAGCTCTGGGCACCTCGCGGCTGACTTGGACTTTATCCACCAGTGAGGCCCTGAAAGGGCTTAAGGAGGAAGGTAGACAGAGCCTCCCTCGCGGTACTGTGGAGAGGGGTCTGGAAGACTGGAGACAGGAAGGCTAGTTACCAATTAATAGAAGAGTCCATCTAAGAAATATTAAGGACCTAGTAGGCCACTGGCTGTGGAGGTAGAGAGGAATAGATTGATTTGAGACATAATTAGGATGTAGGATC